AGTGTGGCTGCCAGCATCCCTGGGGACCATGGAGCTGGGTTTGGGTGATAGCCCATCTCCAGCCACCCCATCCTCAAATATGACCAACGACACACCCTGCCCATGGTGAAACCCAAGGCAGACATATGGGGGTTGGCAGATGCCCCTGTGGCAGCATCAACACCGACATGGTAGCTTGCATCCATCCCTCCACTCACCCCCAGATGGGTGCGGGTACCTCTTTGCTGCCCTGGGCCATGGAGGTGGCTGCATTGATCCACAAAGTTTGGGTCAAAAGGGTTTGGTTACGCAGGGAGGGCGGTAGGGACCGATGAGAGACTGAGAGAGGCTTGCCTCTGCCTTGCACAGAAGGCAGGGGAGGAGAGAAGAGGGGAAAATGGCTCAGGGACAAAGGATAAAGAGAGAGAAGACACATGGAGGGGACTCAGCTCCCTGTGTGCAGCTCGCAGGGGTGGCGGGTGCTGCTGGGGTCCACGGGGAGACGTATCGGGGCAGCAAAGGGCACTTCTTGCAGAGTGTGCTCTGGGGTTATGCTTGAGGGTTTGCTTTCCTCTCTTTGGCAGTGTTGGGAGTTGGAGACTGACCCTTTGCTCCGTGGGGACAGTGGGTTCGTCACCCCGTGGGTGCTGGCATTGCCATGGGATGCCTTTTGCTGTCTCTTCCCGTGTCCCAGCCCAGCTCACCGCTCCCTGGTTACGGAGGGGAAAGAAAGGGATTGAAAGGTCCCAGCTTCAAAGCGGCCAAAATCACACTGGGCTCCCCTGGTTCTCAGCAGCTTCACTCCCACCAGGGCACCCCTTTGCCCCAGTGCATGGGGTCCATGAATGCGGGGGCCAGAGCAGGAGGTGCCCCCAGCATCACCGACTGCCACACTCCAGGGAGCCAGAGGTCTCCATCAATGGCAGAGAACCTCCTGGGTGGTTTTTATCATTTTACTTTATTTGCATGAAGATAAACTGCGCCTTTGTCTGTACAATTTCTCTTTAAATACTTGGCAGCCCTTAAAAAAAAAACAACAACAAAAACCAAAACAAACAGAAAATAAAAAAGAAAGGAACAGTGCAGGCTACAATATCAAAACAGTACGATGCTTGTGAATAAATAACCCCCCGGGGCAGCTGGGGGACACGGCTGTTCGGATTGCACAGGGCTGGTGAATCCAGCCCTCCCGGGTTCTCACCACCCCTTCCCCTGACAGCAGGAACAGCGGCCAGCTGGGGACCTGGCTGGGCATGGGGGACCCCTCTCTGCTCGCTCCCAGCTCCTAGTTGCCCAGCTCGGCTGTGGTGGTGCTGGCGTTTTTGTTGGTTTTGCAGCAGAAGTACTGGTTCCAGATCTGCAGGAAAGCTGTCCGGAACTTCTTGATCCTGAAGGCGTAGACGATGGGGTTCATGGCCGAGTTGCCATGGGTGAGGAAGATGGCGATGTAGGTGAGGATGTGCGGCGTCTCGCAGGATGGGCAGAACAAGGTGATGCAGTTGAGGACGTGCAGAGGGAGCCAGCTGAGCGCAAAGAGGAAGAGGACCAGTGCTAACGACTTGGCAATCTTCAGCTCCTTCCCGTAATACTTCTGGGGGTCGTTGGAGCTGGAGGAGACCTTCTTGTTGAGTTGCTTGCGGATGAGGTTGAAGACTTCCAGGTAGATGAGCAGCATCAGCAACAGGGGAGGCAGGACCCAGACGAAGAAGTTGAAGTACACCATGTACTCCATGCTGATGACGGTCTCAAACTGGCACTTGATGACAAACTCCGTGTGGCTGGCGTTCAGCTCATGAGTCCTCCGCATCTTGTTCAGGTTGTTCCAGCCAAACATAGGGGTGAGTCCCACCAGAAAGGAGACGATCCAACAGCAAGCAATGGCCACCGCTGCCCGCCGGGGTGTCACCACGCTCTTATACCTGTGGAAGAGACAACCACCACAGGAAAAAATTAAACACAAGCGGGATGCTCTGCCTGGGGATTAAGGATGCTCCACGTGGGGTGGCAGTGCTCACTCTGGGACGGCGTGATGCTCCTCAGTCCCCTCCTTGGCAATTGGTAGCAGGTAGCAGATGTGTTAACCGACTGGTTTCTCTGCATGTGCCCTGGGGAACCTCACCCTGTCTCCCACCACCACCCTCGGCCCCAGGGATGGGCAGAGACCTCAGACATGATCCTGGAGCTCTAGGGGTTGATGCCAAGCCAAGAAATGCATTAGCAACCTGCACCACACCTGTGTGTTCAACCCCCATATCTAGGGGGGGTTTCATGACATCCCAGCAGACCACCCTACATCTGAGCACCCTACACACGCAGCAAGTGACTCTTTCTTCCCCCCCATGGGTTGTGTCCTTGCACCGTCCCAGACAATTCCCACTGCGCCAGGGGAGGAAATCACCAGCAAAAGCTTCCTCTGGGACCCGCCGGGCTGGAGGAAGGATCTGCTGGTGCTAATGGACCCCTGGGAAAGCTTCTGGGCACAGCCTGTTTCATCTCCTAATGTGCTGGGCTGATCGACAAAACCCTCTTTCCTAATGGGCCGGTGCCAAGGGATGGAGGAGGAGAGCTGTGCTCTGGCTGGGCTCTGCTCCCTCCCTGATGCCACCAGGGAGCACGCCAGGGCTGGGCTCATCTCTCCAGAGCTCTCCAAGCAAGCCGTGGAGCCTGCTAGATTGGTTTTCCCCCTGGCCCTCAGAGGAAAGCTCCTTGGAGGTCGAGAAGATTCGCAGCCCAAGTGTTATTGCTTTCCGACGGAGGGAGCTGAGCAAAGAATATTCTCCTGACTGTTTGCTGGGTTTTTCGGTGATGCCGGTGTTAACCTGGCCATGGGGACCATGTGGAGGTGGCTGGGAAGCCTGGATCTCCATCCTGGTGCTCAGAGCTCCCTGCTGTATGCCTGCAAGGTGAAAAAAATGGAGCATTGGGGGGCTTTTTAATACACCAGCCAAAGACTCAACCCCACTCTCCACCCCCTCAAAGTGGGGAGCATGGAGGGGTGCAGGGTGGAGGGGAGACATTGATCTCCACGAGATCAGAGGGTCCAGAGCCACCAGTCCCCAACAGCCTTCCCAAATGAACCCTTTCTGGTCTGGGAAAAATTTCCCAGCATCCTGGAGGCAGCCAGGTCCCGTGGGAAGGAGGTGGCAACGCTGGCTGCTGTTTCCACTGAGAGCCAAGGCTGGAGCCGGAGGGTGATTTATTCCTTGTGGGGAGGAGAGAGGGCAGGAGACCATGAGAAATGTGCGGGGCAGGGAGAGCTGGGGCACGGGGAGG